TTCAAACCCACTAATTTCACTCCAAAACATGCGCCACAGCCCGAGTTATGCCATTTTTAAGTTGGAGGACAGAAATTGAAACTTCAATTCTACAATTATTAGACTTTACGCGTAGTCTATCCAACATTTCTAAATTATAGTTGACATGAAATGTATAAAAGCTAGATGAAATGGACATTTAAACATATTTGAAAGTATCATCTATGGTTCATAAAATAAATATAACTAAAAAATTTACTAGATAGTTAAAAAGCATTCCAAATCGTCGAGCACTTGCCACTATGCCAAACCACTACCATGCCTCAAATTATAGTGTTTAAAATTTTAGTATAAGATGAGTACCACAAGTAGTACTCAATAGGAAACACTTAAAAAAATGATAAAAAATATATATTTTTCAGAAATGCAAACTTTGGTTATTTGTATTACTGTCAGTTTTGCAAAGCGAACCGGTGATCAAGTAGTCCACTTATTCTCAGGTTTTGATAATCTCTTTCAAGTATCAAAAATCATCATCTTTTTATCTTATTCGAATCACCAAAATGTACTTCAATTTTCTCATGAGTAACACAATAATACATTAAATGCAAATAAAAAACAAATAATTTTTACTTCGCTTACAAAAGTGCCGAAAATAACCTACCTCAAATGTTTAGAGTTTGAGTACCCTTTTGTGTCCAATTTGTAACAGTGAGCAATATGTTGTTAGCTGTCCTTCAGAAATTTTTTTAGATTCAAGGATGTCTTTGTCTATGGAAAAAAGGGCAAGTGCAATTGTATGTATATAATAGTGGTTTGGGAGAGAAATGTGGCTAAAGGAGTTGAAGGAGGTTAATATTTTCAAAGACAAATGAAAGTGATAGTCTAGCACATAATTATGAGTTTAAATTGATAAAAAGGAGGTTAATATTTTCAAATACAAATGAAGGTGATAGTCTAGCACATAATTATGAGTTTAAATTGATAAGGTAAGTTGGTGGTTAGGGGTTAATACTCTAAATGGTCACTGAACTTTGTCGAAAGTTCCCCAAAGGTAACTGAATTTTAAATATCCCGTAGCCAGTCACTGAACTTTGCCAATTGTGATCCCATCCATCACCGACTTGACTCCGTTAGTAAAATTTGACGATTTTGTCCACGTGTATAACAGAAGAAGTGTCGTGGCACGCTGTGCACAAATTCATTGCCAAGTAAGAAAGTTGTTGAGGTGGAAAAAATTGTTTAAGATAAAAACATGTTTCTAAAATGGAAAATAAGGCAGAACCAATCATTTAAACATCCCAAACCCTTATTTTTACCCCGATTTCAGATTCCTCAAATCCCCACTTCTTCCCGTCCTCGGCAAGCAGTGTCTCCAAGTCAGAAATCGACCCATCGAAACACTGAAGTTCTTAGCTGGAAAATCGAGAGCCCAAAAACTCCAAAATAGTGACCCGTTCGTGGCTGATTTCGACAAAGTTCAGTAACCATTTAGGGTATTAACCTGGAGGTTAGAGAACTAAGTTAGTGCATGGTAAAAACAAATGGGTGCCTTAGTGGAGAAAGAAATCATATTGAGTTGATAGGTTTGAGAGGGATCAAATGTGGTTAAATTTGGGATTTGGTTGTAGTAGAAAATCTTATTGTTTAAGGGCTGTTTGGCACATATAATAAGTGTATCAATTTTTAAATTTTGAAGGACTTAACATTAGGCCTGGGCATGGTTCGGGTTGATTTGGTTTTGAGTCCAACCCATAACCGAAATCGATTTAGTCGGTTTGGATAAATTCCATCTCAAACCGACCCAATCCAATCATTGAAACGAAATCGAACCAAACCAAACCAAACCAAATCGGTTTGGTTAATCGGTTTGGTCATTGGTGCGAGTTAAAAAAGATTATGTATCTATTTTAAGTTAAAAAATTTGTCTTTCTATATATATATATATATCACACACACACACACATAATAGTTACCAACAAACAATTATACAAAAAATGAAAAACAATGATACAATCTAAATTTGAAATTTATAATAAACACTTTTTCTTGCTTTCTTTTATTTCGAAATTTGGAGTTTTGGTAGAAAATACATAGACGGTAAATAAATTATTTAAGAAAGAATTATATTTATATTTATGTGTTTTTTTTTATATATAAGTTTAAGAAGATGAATTTTAAAATTAAAAAAAATGTATTTGTAGGTTGGTTCGGTAAATTGTTGCTTAAACCGCAACCAACCCAACCCGACTTTATAATGATAAAATTAACCGAACCAAACAAAATTGATTTTTTTGTTCAAACCAACCCAAACCAACCCGACTCGATTTGGTGACCAGGTTTTCGATTTTTTTGCCCACCCCTACTTAACATAGGCGGCAATTAATATAAAATATGTTGTCACAAAATAATGTAATCAAACTAAAATAAAAAATGGGCGTTTAAATGAGGATTTGACAGCTTACAAAAATTTTAAGACAAGTGCGTGCAATTTTACTATCATGGCAAAAACTTCAATTTGGACTCCTAAAAAGTGTTGTAGCAACGTAATAATATAACCCAAATTATTCTCTAGTTCCATAAGAAAATTTCTTCTAAAATGAAAAACAAAATTTTTTCGATCGCTGCAATCAGAACTGTCAAACAACAGTTTTAAAAGTTAGTTAATTCCATAAACGTACTATGGTTTCCATTTAAATAAATAGTAAAAAACAGGAGTAATCCAACGACAAGGTTAAACGAGTAGTGTTATGTATGACAAATGGTGCATAGCACGAGTTCAAGTGGCTTTAAGGTCTACCAATTAGGCAATGAGTTGGTAGATCCCACTGCCGACCACTTGGACATGGTAGGCCCAACTGCACTTAGACTAGTGCTACGTAACATTATTATTCTCCCAATGACTAGAAACTGATGCTATGTTAACTTTACAGTTAGCAGTGGAATCTCAAGCAGCTTCGTTCTCGTACTCATTCTCAGATTCCAGTTATTTTCATTGTCAGTGCTAGCTAGATAGTCCTGTAAAGCAAAATTGTTGTATCGTAATCCAGTTCTCCAGGTTCAAGAGAAAATTTGGTACATAGAAAAGCTGTGAACCGCTGTATTAGCCATTACATTCTGTTCACCTAATGAGCCATTGGAATGCTTTTCAAACTTGAATTCCCTGAAGTTTCTAGCCATGTATAAAGTGTCCCCATTTACCTAACCATCAAATCAAACTCTCTAAGATTTGAAAAAATTGACACCCAATTATCATCTTAGGATAAAGTGTCTCAACTAGATATCCCCTTGAATCCTGTTTTTCGTTTTCCAATGACCAAAGGAAAAGTACCCAACATCCAATAATTACTGATGTCTCTTCAATTATTGAACATGGCACCAGAAAAAACAAAAGGATACGTGTGCGCTAAAGTTTTCTTTATTAGCATAAAATTTTGAATAATGGTGATTAAATGACGGGCTCAAAGATAAGGAAGTGATAGATAGACTGACTTGTCAGCGCTTATTTGGATGATTTTTTTTTTCAAAACTGTCAAATCATCTACTGACACGCGTCCCCCAACATGTTTTTTTTAGCCTTGTAGCATGATTGAAAAAGTTTTGAGTTTTTAAAACTTCTACCTATTACAAGAATATAGAATAACATTAAAAAAATTATTACAGTAAGAATATAAACAAACAAATAATGAAAAGTGTAGAAATATGTTAAGCGCTGAAAATACTATAAATCTGCGAACCAAGGTTTAGTTCAGATGTCTGTCTCCGAAGATATAACAGAAGAACCGATAGAATATGAACAACTCAATTTCTACTTCAACGATATGAACTAAAGGACCAATTTTTGCCATGTTCGGTCCGACATTCACGTACGCTCATAAGTGCAAGGCTCGATGTACAATTCTTGCTCCTTGATTTGCACCCTTGTGCGCGGGCACATAAAGAGAACATCTATGTTACACATGATTACACACTTCCAAAGTATAACCATATATAAAGTAGTTCTTACTTTCATCAACTTCCTATATTGGATTAACTTTTTCTTTCCAACAGAAACAATCTTTCAATGGTCCACCTTGAACTTCAATTTCTCATTCACCCGTTTATCATTTTTGGCAAGTAAGCCTGTGTTTGGCTCACATTATCAGCTTCATTTTAATAAAAAAATTGACCGTTGCTTAAATGAATGGGTCCCACCTTAGAGATGCAAAGTCAAATAAATGGGCTGACCTGCCTCCAACGGTCATAATTTTTATTCTTTTGGCCAAATAATGGCTCCCAAACACATGCTAAATATATAATTTCTATATTCTTACGGAGAAGAACACGGATCAACTTTTATCTTCCAAATTGAATCAACAGGTCCCACCGAAAATTGTGCCAAAAGTAAGCTCAGCCATTTTTCCAACAATACCAAGCAAATAACAATTAGTTTTATCTAAGAATATGCATATAGTATTGCAACAATTCAAAAGAACGCGACGATTTTAATAATTTCTTTCATCCCTGATGCAAATAAAATCAGCTGTAAGTCAAGAAATATACAACTTCAAAGATAAATCTTACCTAATTCAGCTGATCCAACACCATATTTGGCTGATTTATGTAACCTTGGTCTGTAGCTAAAGTATACAATTCACCTTCATACTGCAAATGAACTGATATTAGGTACAGATTCCACATATTGATGTCATAAAAATAAGAACAAAAATAACACAGTCGATGCTCCTATCATTAACACTTCAAAATTCTCAACCCTTACGGCTAAAAAGATGGACCTTCATTAACTCATGTCACAATTAATCCCTCGACAGCATCCGTGTTAGAGATGGTGGTTTGGGGTGCAATATATTTCATTTGAGTGATAACTTTGTTTCTTTTGTTGTCGGTAAATGTTAGGGGTGAGTTTAGTTAACGAATTAGTGTTTTGAAACGTTTTGAATTCGACCTCTGCATATGAGAAATTTTTTAATGAGAAAGAGGTGAAAATTTACATCGTTAATGCATCAAAGAATCAATGATTTTCAGTCTACCATGAATACTCGAGTCAACTGACTAGCAATGTTCTTCAGGAAATTCCTTGTCAGTTTTCCTAATGAAAATCAAGAAGAGAAAAATGAATTGTTATGCTTAAACTGGAAAAGGCGCAAGTTCAGTTCTTCTCTATCTTTTTAAAAAAAAAACAAGAGCATGTTGTAGCCGAATAATAATCAAAGGTTGATTAAGCGACTGAGTTTCCATCATATGAAGCACTAACCTTGTTTCGTAGTAGTTCTATCCTCAGAACTTGGGTTGCAATCAATTGCACTACCTTTATCTACCTGTTCTATAAGAACCACCTCACCTTCAGACACGGGCTCTTTATTCACAAGAACTGTGGATACTGACTCCAATAAACACTTACCGCCTTCATAACTGGGTTCCTTGCCGACAACAATTGAATCGAATGCTTCAGGTTCGTCAATTTCGTGTATTTCAATATTCTGATGCTGCAGTTGGAGTCAACATACAAGAAGAATCTATTGTATCCCAACAACTTTGACAACATTTTGCTTTATATGCCTCATATGTGGAAATGAATTCATTCTGAACATTGTCATCTATCTTGGATTTACTCACAATACTATTGGGTGTGGGTGCAGGATTTTGTCCAGAAGACTCAGGTTGTACATTTTCTTCTTCTTCAACTGGTGCATTGAAACCAGTTTATTTGACTAGATCTTTACAATGTTCTCTAGATTTTTCAGAGGTGGATTGGACAGAGTTGGCTTTGTGATCAATCTTGGATAACAATTGAGCAGCTTCCCCTGAACCTGCTTCAGGAAATCTTGCATCGAAGGTGCAATTAAAGAAAGTAGTGTTACTATTTGATACAGATATCCCATTCTCGCAAGTCTTTGCAGTGTGATCCACAACATTACTATCCACTGTCTCTAAAGAATTAACTGGCTCTTGAGTTTTTAAGATATGCACTTTCAACAAAAGTTAAAATAGAGTTTTGTCACTTTGAGTACAAAATCTGCTGATGAATTCGGCATTTCTGCCTCTGACACTTTCAAATCTCTCAAGAGCTCTGCTTCTTCTTCAATGTCCCTTTTCTTTGATTTGAAGTGACTAGAGTCAGAATAGGGAGGATCGCCAAATGATCGACCTCTTGTGGCAGTTGTTGCAAGAGCAAAATCGTTACTATTTTTCTTTTGTTCACTCCCATCATTTATGTTTCTAGGGGCAACAAGCTCCCGATGGAGTATTATATGATTTCAACCCAATGGCTTTTGCAGTTTCATAATCATGAAACATGTAGACCACATTTAACAGGACGATAGATGAAGATTAAAATAAATAATAATGACCAAAGCACGACAGTAGTAAGGATTAAGGAAACAGATCTCTTTAAAATGATTCATGATCAACCAAAAGTAAAGTTATATGACACCGAGACCTCGTTCAGCGAACAGTGAAGCATTCATCCCCCATCCTGGCAATTATCTTTAACCAAAAACCTTCAATTCCTTTACACCCCACTTCCTTCCAGGAAAAAACTTATACTAACTTCCTTATCTAGACTGACATCCAAGGGTCCCTGGAACTGAAAATGTGATCCCCTCCCTCTCTCCCTTCCAAAAACATAAAAAATAAAATTTCTGTACGCTGTTTATCACTTATTTTCTTCTACCCTTCTTTCTACCATGTCAATGGCGGGATCTGAAGGCGTGTCCACTCAGAAAAATGAATCAAGAGTTGCCACTCATACGTTATTCGACATGCTCATTCAGTCATTCTACCTTACGAAAATGCTGATCCGTGTCAGCCACTAGCTCTGATAGGACGAAAAATAATCATGTTTCTGTAAAGGATTGAGCTAATTACTCCTCACTTTCTAAATTTCTGTACTTATTTACATACTCATATTTCCTTATTTCTCCATGAATTGCAACTTAACTAAGTCAACAGAATCGATCAACACACAGCTGAGTCTTTTCACCACCACAAGCGCCTGTGACGATTTCCGTTAACCATGTCCAAGCTTTTTCTGATTTACCATGATTTTCATATTATGCACAAAAGGTTCCTCCTTTTGAATACACTACAATGCTTGCTTACGAACACGATTGTCAAAACGTTTCTCCCACAGGGAAGAAATCATTGTTGAAACATAACATACTCCAAACAGAGAAACAATATAATTCTTCATTCCATCTTTTGAGTTTGAAAAGTGATTTTTACTTTCCAAACATATAACATTACTTGTTTTCACTCGACCTTTACACAGGTAATTCAACAGCACTTCAAATTTGAAAAAATCTATTGATGTTGTTGCCTCGTGACTTCGACGGGAGGCAGAGCTACAAAATAATTAATCCTTGTTTGGTTTTGTTAAAGATCATATTTTTAGTAAATTTTGATAAAGTTGATCAAATGTATGATCGAAAAGTTGAAAAAAGTTATGAGACTCATACAATGTGAAGTTAAAATTAATTATTAACTTCAATTTAAATTTTTATCAAAGTTTTAGTTAAATCAAAGAGAGATTTAACTTTGACATAGAAGCTTCCTAATGGAAGCACTTAACACTGCCAAATTATTTGAATATTGCCCTTGTTTGGCAGAAATTATAATCTAGATTCTAATCTTAATCCAAGTCAACAATTAATTTTAACAAGATATTTTATGGATCTCACATCTTTTCAACCACACATCTCACCAATTTTTATCAAAATTTACTAAAAATATGAGTTTAATCCATGTGAAAATGTACATAAATAATTATAAATATATAATTTAAGAACAAATTGTGTATATTGTATAAACAATGATGAATTGAGAGAAGAAAAATGCTCACTTCATTGATTTCAAGAGTATATATACACATCAGATACCAGACTTTACAAATGTATGCCTATACCTAAGGAAGAAGTTATACTAACAAATTACAGCTAAGAAGATCATAACCAAATAATTTCAAAAGTTAAATTCAAATTACAGATACTACAAAGACCACGAGATGAGAGGCCAATCTTGACTTTGAATGACTGAAATTGAGGTTGAGATAACAATTTTGTTAGAGCATCTGCAAACTGATCAGCAGAAGAAAAATGAGCCACGCGAAGAACCCCTGATTGAACTTGTTCTTGAATAAAGTGATAATCAATAGCCACATGCTTCATTCGATAGTGAAAGATAGGGTTAGAGCACAGCTGAGTTGCACCAACATTATCACAATATACAATAGGAGAATGAGGCAAAATGAAACCAAGTTCTGTGAAAAGAGAACCGACCCAACTAAGTTCTGCAGAAGTAGCATCGACTAAGCGGTATTCAGCATCGGTGGAAGAACAGGGCATCGTGGTTTGTTTCTTATAGCTCTAACAGGAGCGAAGCCAGCCCATCAAAGTAAGGGGGTTCGAGAGTTGAAGGGGTGGGGGCTCATGGGGGTTCGGGGGTAGCGCCCCTGAAATTTTTTTTTTGAAACATTATCTATTAAAATGAGGGAGGTTAGTACTTTGTGATAGAGAAAGGAAATCAAAGAACATAAATTAATGTACATTATTAACAAAAAAAATCAAGAAACATATAAATTATCAGAAGTTACATACTCGAATTTGAGCTCAAGCTTTCGTAGATTGGATCTTCCTCAGTAGCCTTGAACTCATCAAGTTTGCACTCAAACAATAAGACGACATATAAACTCAATAAAACCCCAAATTAAAACATGTAGAATACCCAATTTAATTTTCATGGTTAAAATTCTACATTAATGGTACTTGTATACTACAATACAAATTATTATCATGGACGAATACATGAAGATCAGTGCAAGAACGTAAATACTGCAATTAAAATATGAAACATTTTCAAGTGAAGCAATCATATTACTCAACTTCATACAACATAATGTATAATAACTAATGGGGTACAAAAAACTATTGAAGCAATTTTAGACTAAACTAAAATATGCCTTATCAAATAAAATATATCATTGTTCTAATTAAACTATTTATACACAAAAAAAATTAAAAAAAAAAATTTGTCAAAAATTGAGGGGGGTCCAGGACCCCCCTGGACCCCCCC